ATACCTAGTCAGTTTCACAACTATGTCTAAAGCATTTAATCAGAGAGTAGGTCTGAATCCGAGAGGTGTAGGGGGCTGCCTTAATTGACGTCCACGTCACCGGCGCCCGGGGAGCAGTTGTTGTTGCCTTGCTCAAGGGCAGAACGCAGATTTTTTCCACCTTGCCGGCTCGGGGATTCGAACCAGTGACCTTTGGGTTACTGCCCCAACGCTCTTAACCGCTAGGCTACCTGCAGTAGGAGAGAGAGGGATGAGCTGCTTTGGTTCTGTTGATGCAGCAGGTTAGGGGGTGTGTGTGTGTGTACGTATGTGCTTGTATATACAGTATGTGTATTGAGTGCTGATAAGAGTTAAAATCTGTGAACGACATGGGAAATGTGATTTCAAAGGCTGTGTGTGTAGGATAGACAAGTATAGTCGACTCTTGATATTTGCAGTAGCAGGTGACTGTCAAGAATGCGTGCACTATATACACAGATATCCATAGCATGGGAAAAGTATGCATTTTAATCTGAACTGTTGAATTGGCACCACATTTAAACAGATTGTGCAGTCAAATGTGCACTCATGAGGAGTCCTGACTGTCTACAGTCCAATTTCACAGCGGACTGTCAGAACAGGTCACTAGACTTTAATACTGTAGGTCAATGTTGTAACTTGCCGTATCGATGAACTGAGCTTTGCTCCCAAGGTCACAGTTCAACATCGATTTGTCAGACATAGTCTGCCTACAGGATTCATCTGATCCACTGAAATGTTGTGGGGAAATGAAGCCCAGGTTGTCTGACAACCTCACCAACCCTATAAAGTGACGATTATTTACAAAATCAATCAGTTTTACAATACATTCGTTGTGATTGCCAACACAACTTACCCTAACAATTTTTATGGACGACATATGAAATTATGGAATTCCGGTGAACTTCCCCTTTAAGTCATTTTTTTCTCCTTTCTCCACAGGTGGCCATAGGCAAGATGTACCCGACCCAGAAGACTATTGTTGAGGGGTAGGGGTCGAAGAGGAACCTCCGATGGGCATTGGGGCATTGGAGTGTCTCAGAACGAGAGGAAACGATGCCCAAGAGACCATGGGAGACGGAGCACTGAACCTCAACCTCACTTGCCCTTCCTCACAGAAGCTTTATTTTCTGACGCCCTCATTGGATGGATATGGGGGAAAGTGTTGTGGGAGATAGCCTATGGGTTGGGTATACTTTGTCCAGTCCAAAATCAAATCATTGTCCCTTATCTCTAGACCAGTGTTCCCAACCCTCCACATTTTTGTCCTAGCCCTGCACTGACACACATGATTCAACTAGACAGGGGCTTGCTGATTAGTTGATTATTTTAATCATTAAGTGTCAGTGCAGGACTAGAACAAAAATGTGGACTATCTAGCGTTCCCCACGAGGGGGTTGGGAAACACTGCCCTAGACATTTTGTGATGGACTGTCGTAGATCTGAAAGCATCAGATAGGCATTAGAAATATGGTAATAATGCCACCTAGCCTTTTGGTAGGCAATAGAGATTCTACCATATTGCTTACACCTTTACAGATACATGAGGTAGGAAGAGGCAAGGGGATCGTTGATTTCGGACTTGGCAACTGTGCGCCGTTGACGACATAACTATTGTCCTTGGTCACTATATACCCTCTCTTCACCAGGATAATGTTGAGCTTCTTTTGTGAGCCGTAAGAGTTGCAACAGTGTACACGCCCTTGATTCCCTTGTTATATTGTTCAACTGTGTATTGTGTATATATGATTTATCGTCATGTAAGATGGTGTATAAACAGATTAAAGATAAGCAGATCTTAATCACATTACTGTCTCCATACTCTTTAGTCATGACTCAGTCGGTAGAGCATGGTACTTGCAACGCCAGGGGTCGTGGGTTCGATTCCTGCTGAATACGTAAAATGTATGCACGCATGACTGTAAGTCACTTTATGACACTATTATTATTCTGTTATGACAAGTCTTACGATGCATTATACCTGGAGGCTTTAAGTAAGGGCAATGGCAAATAATGGAAATGGATGATGCTACACATGACTTGAAAATGTGAATTGGAGTTGGGTGAATGTATCCCACAAGGCCACCTGTTCTAAAAATAGCCCCTTTTGTTGGTTTTGGATGAGCAGTGACCTAGTAGTGTAAGGATCATATTACTTAACACATAATAAGGACCAAAGTTGAAAGCTCCCGCATATGTCATCTCCAAATATCTTGTCTGCTTCTGATCAGCGTTTTAGGGTGATCAACAAAATCCGTTTTGAAGTACATGAACATCAAGGGAGGAGACGTGGACTCAAATACTGTTTGAAATCATTTCAAATACTTTATCTGTGCTTGATTGTGCTTGCCTGGCTTAATGGACCAATATAATAGTACCAAATGCCAAGTCCTGACCATATGGCACTCCAGGCAGGCTGGAGTGAACACTCAAAGTATTTGAAAGATTTCAGATAGTGATGCTTCCTGGGTTCAAATACTAAGACAACTGGGACTGATGACATTTAAATAATAAGAGGATCCTGGATAAGGACAGTTTATTATCAAAATGTTGTGTACTGTTTAAGAAAAATAGCATTTGCATTTGAAACACTTCGTCCATTTCATTGGTTCATATATTCAATAGCCTAATTGATGTCATGTTTAGTGCATGAATCGCAGGGTTAAAACAACATACCGTGTTGCACTGTTACATCAACATACCATTTAAGATTGAGACGAACTTTGCATTTTCACATTGTCTATAGTCTGTTTACATTCAGTTCAGTAGGCCAAGAGTCTGAAAAAGACTGGACCGTTACAGGAACGAGTACATAGACATGCTGTGCGGACTCCAGACCGAGTACATAGACATGCTGTGCGGACCCCAGACCTGAGTTCAAACACTATTTGAAATGATTTCATATTTGAACACTGGTCTATGTGGATGTTGTCTGGAGAGATTCTTATCGCTGCAGCCTGGAAACCAGCGATTCTCTGTTGACAGAGTGAACAACTCCATGTGATTTGCTGATTTGCCTCTTGAACTTTGGTCAGGGGACAGGTATAGGATGGGACAACAACCTGACAACCACCAAGGGTACATGACAGACCTAACAAGGGAAGTGACATCACTGGCATCAATAGTATGCTGCTCATATACCCACCAACAGTATTCCAAACACACTGGGAAAGTTCTGACTGTAGAGAAAGTAGTGGAGGAGTTTTGATAAGGTGATGTCATCATAGAGATTCTATGTAATTATATGGATGTCATAAGTTTTACATTAAACAAATGTATTACAGAATATTGTAACTGGCCTATGTATGAATTTATAGGTACATAGATGTGTAATGTATGCTTTATAATATGCAGTTGATGTAAAGCATTACCAAGTTCCACCCCCAAACATATGTAAAATATTTAAAATGTAGTCATAGCTGTAATTTGGACAGCAATGCTGTGTGCCAATGGGCACTGTGTAATGCTAACACATAGATCTCTGTTCTTTTCATTAATTGAGGGAAACCAGTACTCTACAGAGAGCAGTAAATATGTGTTTTACATTATGTTCCACGAACCTGCTGCCTCTTAGACTATTTTATCCAAATCAAATTTGATTGGTCGCGTACACAGATTTGCAGAAGTTATACCAGGTGCAGCAAAATGCTTATGTTACTAGCGCCAACAGTGCAGCAGAATGTCTCGCAAATACAATATTACAAAAACACAAATAATAAAAAATTTAATAAACTAGAAATCAAGAAATGACAGCGAGTCCAATTAACAATCCAGTGTAGATATTCACTGTTCAAGCTCTACAAGCCATTCACTGTGTAGCCATGCACACCAATATAACAGATTGCTTGTTAATCTTTCCTTGGTGCCCATGGGAGTACAAACAATAATTAATATGTTTCGTGGCAGAGAACTCTTTCACAGATTTTGCTTCACATGATTTTATTATAACTAGGATACATCACACATTTTCATACTCTTCAATATTATGGGCCCTGAATCAAAGGCTATGTCTGAAATGGTACATTACTTTAGACCAGCCATTCCCTTTAGTGCAAAGCTTTTGACCAGAGATCAAAAGTATTGCACTATAGGTCAAAAGTAGTGCACTCTATAGGAAATAGGCTGCCACAAGTTTTAGCCTTATCTTTTACCGTTGATTCACATAGAATTAGGTGGTGCACACACTGTATGAGTTGACTATATGAAGTGCAGTGCCCGGCGCTTATAAGTATGACAATGTGCACAGTGCCAAGGACATTGTACATTGTAAGGATGTTTACATCACTAAATTGATTATATGATTCAGTCATATTAGCGGAGTGCACTGTACTGCAATTGTTAATATGGCAGAGAACATTCACAATCATGAAACTGATTAGCACAATAACACAATTCATAAAAATATCTGAATTCATAACTCATTACAATTCACACCTCGGCACAGTAGGATAGCTCTCCTTCTGATTGGATGACATGATATGGAAATATGATGTAGAACAGGTGAAGTCCCCTTTGCTACAGGTGAGATGGAATGTCATGTCTCTTAAACTGCTTAATTGGCAGTCTTTTAGTATGGTCTTGGGTCTGTGCAGTCCCCATTGGCAGTGTAGCTGAGAAATGTTCATCAGTCATCCACAGATCCTAATGGCAATTGTTGTGTTATTAAATGTTGTACCAGACCAGGTCAGAATACTCAACTGGACAGATGCAAACTTGTCAACTCCATGTTTTACTTTAAAATAGGATGGATCTGAGTGGTTCCCTTTTTTGGTTCAAATTCAGCACATAAATCTTCAGTAAGCCTAACGTCATAATAATCATTTTGAACTCATAACCACCTTGGTAATAAAACGGTGGGGCCAGATGTAAAGGGGAAAAGAAACTTTATTGAAAAGTATATATCAATGCACGTGACAGAGAACAACTTCCTAAGACCACTTGTTGAGCGACACCAACTTTATGCACGTGCATAAGAGCGCGTTTCAGATGGCATGAAAAGCTGCCCTCTTGTAGGTCAGCATACCTGTACAGTGATATTTCAAAGTATAGTTTTGTCCATTGTTGTTATCCCAAAACTCGCCCTGGTCATTCCTGATGTACACGGCGAAGTGCACTGAGGAAGCTGGGTCTAGGAACGGAGGTGTGTACAAGGTAAAGGTATAACGCTCACCGACAATATTGTCACCCACGGGCATGGGTATCGCCTGCGCGTCCACGGAAGACAGCCACTCGTTGAACGTGTACCTCACACCAACTTCCCTCTTGCAACAACTTTGAGTATTCGTCCGAATCTGCCCACGGACGTCAAACCGGGTGATGGTCACCTTCTCCAGGTTAATGTGGCGCTGCAATACCGTGGTTTCAAAATCATCAGACTCAACTGGCATCTTGAAAGTTGGGATGAGACGGTCCATGGTCAAGGTGGATTTAAAGTTTACGCACAGGTCCCCAATTCGATACTCTCGGTTCCTGCGGTTGAGGGGGGAAAGCTCTGCAGTCTCGAAAATACATTGGAAGGGATTTGCGGGTCTTCCGCTGTGCTGAAGTGCTTCACACTTGCCAAATCAAGCCCAATGGAGTCTGCGAACTTCACCCGTTTTCGGCCGTTATTGGCTATTTCTTGAAAAAGCGTAGCCTGCTTGGGGTACGCGGGCAGGGATTTCGCTCTTCGCCTGTCTTTCATATACATTTCTGGTGGTTCCAATAAGCCATCTTTCAACTCCTCATCACCATTTTCTGTTGGCTCCTCTTCAATCCCTGATAGCATGGTTCCCCCTGAATTCGGAGAACACTGTTTGGAATCAGACAGGAGGCCTGAATCGGACATATTGGTAATGCGTGTGTTATGAATAAACACCGGAACAGTTCCAATGATGGAGTTTACATTCCCATGGAACTTTTCAGTTAGTGTGATACGCCCACTTAACAGCTCATCATCCAACTCTGCCTGTTTCTGTGTTCAGCATCAGTCTTTGGAATGTAATGCAACTTCACATCACGTCATTGCAACGTAATAGAGAGCACTATTAGATGTGGTAAAGGAAGGAGTCAATGGAATGCAGACGTTCCATTGACCAACTTGGCGTGTATTCAGATAATCTGATTTAACAAAGTGGATATTCATCAAATCCGTCATGATTTATGTATTGTAACAGGCCCACAATGTGCTTACTTAAGTCCGATTTGGATATAGTTGGCTGTTTTTGCTGCATAACATGTAGAAGTTGTCCCTTTTCAGGTTTAGAAGATGTGACTGCCTTTTGTATAAGCTGGTTAGCATAGCTAGCATACAGAAATATTTGATGGTAGTAGTCAAAGTCGTTTTATAATGCAGTTGATTGGTAAGGATGACATAAACGTGTTGGGGTTGACATCCATACAAGCATTATGCTCAGTTTTTTACCTCAACATAGTGTGAAATACACATATAAACAATAGCCTAAATGCAGCGGTGGAAAAAGTACCCAGTTGTCATAGTTGAGTAAAAGTAAAGATACTTTAATAGAAAATGACTCAAGTAAAAGTGAAAGTCACCCAGTAAAATACTACTTCAGTAAAGTCTAAAAGTATTTTGGTTTTAAATATACTTAAGTATCAAAAGTAAAAGTACAAATAATTTCAAATTCCTTATATTAAGCAAACCAGATGGTGCCATATATATATTTTTAAATGGAAAGCCAGGGGCACACTCCAACACTCAGACATAATTTACAAAAAAAGCATGTGTGTTTATTGAGTCTGCCAGTTCAGAGGCAGTAGGGATGACCAGGGATGTTGTCTTGATACGTGTGTGAATTTGTGTGTAAGGGAAAATGTATGGAGTAAAAAGTAAATTATTTTCTTTAGGAATGTAGTGAAGTAAAAGTAGTCAAAAATATAAATAGTAAAGTAAAGTACAGATACACCAAAAAACTACTTAAGTAGTACTTTAAAGTATTTTTACTTAAGTACTTTACACCACTGCCTAAATGTAGGCTAATTCTACTGGGGGACAATGAGGAGACTCAGGATCTTTCCCCCATGGCCCTTTAACCCACACATTTCCATGGCAATTCCATTGTTTTTTGTAGGCAGTAACTCTGCAATGGATTGTTGGCCAAAGCCTATGGGGAAGTTAATGGAGTTTTTGGTCTTTTTTTTATAAACCCCGAAAAATAAGGTTTGTGGTAACACAGGTTTAGGAGATCTTATAGCTTTTGTTCTATGAGATAATCTTCATCATCTAACGTAACTTTGTGTGAATTTTTGTGCATTTATCCAATCAAAACAAGCACATACAGTGGGGGGAAAAAGTATTTAGTCAGCCAATAACTGTGCAAGTTCTCCCACTTAAAAAGATGAGAGAGGCCTGTAATTTTCATCATAGGTACACGTCAACTATGACAGACAAAATGAGATTTTTTTTCTCCAGAAAATCACATTGTAGGATTTTTAATGAATTTATTTACAAATTATGGTGGAAAATAAGTATTTGGTCAATAACAAAAGTTTCTCAATACTTTGTTATATACCCTTTGTTGGCAATGACACAGGTCAAACGTTTTCTGTAAGTCTTCACAAGGTTTTCACACACGGTTGCTGGTATTTTGGCCCATTCCTCCATGCAGATCTGCTCTAGAGCAGTGATGTTTTGGGGCTGTCGCTGGGCAACACAGACTTTCAACTCCCTCCAAAGATTTTCTATGGGGTTGAGATCTGGAGACTGGCTAGGCCACTCCAGGACCTTGAAATGCTTCTTACGAAGCCACTCCTTCGTTGCCCGGGCGGTGTGTTTGGGATCATTGTCATGCTGAAAGACCCAGCCACGTTTCATCTTCAATGCCCTTGCTGATGGAAGGAGGTTTTCACTCAAAATCTCACGATACATGGCCCCATTCATTCTTTCCTTTACACGGATCAGTCGTCATGGTCCCTTTGCAGAAAAACAGCCCCAAAGCATGATGTTTCCACCCCCATGCTCCACAGTAGGTATGGTGTTCTTTGGATGCAACTCAGCATTATTTGTCCTCCAAACACGACGAGTTGAGTTTTTACCAAAAAGTTCTATTTTGGTTTCATCTGACCATATGACATTCTCCCAATCCTCTTCTGGATCATCCAAATGCCCTCTAGCAAACTTCAGACGGGCCTGGACATGTACTGGCTTAAGCAGGGTGACACGTCTGGCACTGCAGGTTTTGAGTCCCTGGCGGCGTAGTGTGTTACTGATGGTAGGCTTTGTTACTTTGGTCCCAGCTCTCTGCAGGTCATTCACTAGGTCCCCCCGTGTGGTTCTGGGATTTTTGCTCACCATTCTTGTGATCATTTTGACCCCACGGGGTGAGATCTTGCGTGGAGCCCCAGATCGAGGGAGATTATCAGTGGTCTTGTATGTCTTCCATTTCCTAATAATTGCTCCCACAGTTGATTTCTTCAAACCAAGCTGCTTACCAATTGCAGATTCAGTCTTCCCAGCCTGGTGCAGGTCTACAATTTTGTTTCTGGTGTCCTTTGACAGCTCTTTGGTCTTGGCCATAGTGGAGTTTGGAGTGTGACTGTTTGAGGTTGTGGACAGGTGTCTTTTATACTGATAACAAGTTCAAACAGGTACTATTAATACAGGTAACGAGTGGAGGACAGAGGAGCCTCTTAAAGAAGAAGTTACAGGTCTGTGAGAGCCAGAAATCTTGCTTGTTTGTAGGTGACCAAATACTTATTTTCCACCATAATTTGCAAATAAATTCATTAAAAATCCTACAATGTGATTTTCTGGATTTTTTTTTCTCATTTTGTCTGTCATAGTTGACGTGTACCTATGATGAAAATTACAGGCCTCTCTCATCTTTTTAAGTGGGATAACCTGCACAATTGGTGGCTGACTAAATACTTTTTTCAGTAAAATACTTAATTCATCAAGGTTTTCTTAACTGACTGATATTATATCATAGAACAAAACGTATAAGATCTCCTAAGCCTGTGTTAACCTCAGACCTTATTTTCGGCATTTCCCAGAACCTCATTCATTTCCCCCATAGGAATGGCTGAACGAACCAGAGAGAACTCATTTATGGTTTTTAGGACTATAAGCTGGCGAGCTCTATTCAAGCTTACAAAGAGCTCACCTGTACACATTTTGTGAATTTTAAAGCATTTATCCAATCAAAACATGCACATAAAGCACATAAAGGTTCATGTTAACGGACTGATATTATCTCATAGAACAAAACGTATAAGATCTCCTAAACTTACAAAGAGCTGACCTGCACAGCATGCTGGAGTGTGTGCCAGAGGCATTAGGGTATTGGGCTATCTATCAAATCATCAAATTATTCATTATCAAAATTGTCATTATTCAATATTAACAAATTTATATTTTATGCCAACATCTACATATAGTTTAATGACAATATAATACTGTAGGCCATTTTTGCATCAGAAAATAAATAGACCCACATTCGAGACCCTTTCAAACCATTGATATGAAAATAACCTATTTACCTTATAAGCACAATCAAATAGGCCTATAATTGTTTTGTTGATTATGAATGATCATTGCTGTGATTTCAGCCATCAAAACAACAAAATTGCATTGATAAGTGATAGCTTCCTGTAGTTCCAGTTGCATCACAGTACAGTCGTGATCAAAAGTTTTGAGAATGACACAAGTATTGGTCTTCACAAAGTTCGCTGCTTCAGTGTTATGAGATGTTTTTGTCAGATGTTACTATGGTATACTGAAGTATAATTACAAGCATTCCATAAGTGCCAAAGGCTTTTATTGACAATTACATTAAGTTTATGCAAAGAGTCAATATTTGCAGTGTTGACCCTTCTTTTTCAAGACCTCTGCAATACGCACTGGCATGCTGTCAATTAACTTCGGGCCACATCCTGACTGATGGCAGCCCATTCTTGCATAATCAATGCTTGGAGTTTGTCAGAATTTGTGGGTTTTTGTTTGTCCACCCGCCTCTTGAGGATTGACCACAAGGTCTGGGGAGTTTCCTGGCCATGGACCCAAAATGTAGATGTTTTGTTCCCCGAGCCACTTAGTTATCACTTTTGCCTTATGGCAAGGTGCTCCATCATGCTGGAAAAGGCATTGGTCATCACCAAACTGTTCTTGGATGGTTGGGAAAAGTTGCTCTCGGAGGATGTGTTGGTACCATTCTTTATTCATGGCTGTGTTCTTAGGCAAAAATGTGAGTGAGCCCACTCCCTTGGCTGAGAAGCAACCCCACACATGAATGGTCTCAGGATGCTTTACTGTTGGCATGACACAGGACTGATGGTAGCGCTCACCTTGTCTTCTCCGGACAAGGTGTTTTCCGGATGCCCCAATAAATCGGAAAGGGGATTCATCAGAGAAAATGACTTTACCCCAGTCCTTAACAGTCCAATCCCTGTA